ACAACTTCTTCGTTCCACCAGTTTTTGAACGCTCTTGCAGAGAAAACTTTTGGGTTCGACGAAATAGTTGTCAACCGTTGATTTCTGAAGAAAAAAATCGGGTTTGAAAAAGAATGACATCTATAACTCAGAGACCTGTGGGTAGAGCCACGGAGGAAGATTTGCCCTCCGGTGAACGTTTCTCGGGGAAAATGGGTCCAGTGAACTAATTGCAATATGGGTTGCGACTGAACATATTCTGCCATCAACACCTCCGTAGTTTTTCTTCGGCTATGCAAAAGTTGTCAACGCTCAAAAATCAAATACACCAGACAATGACGAGTGGCTGTTGTTCACCTCAATAATTAATATCTGTGTTTGGGGTCAAACTGGACTCCTAGCAACACCCAGTGAACCCTAAATCACTTTCGTTAACATGGGAGTTTCCCACCTAAAGATTTCTTGGAATTGACATTTTGGTACTTCACCCTTTCCAAGAAAATAGATGTGATTCTGAAGAGGAAATGTTTCTTTTGCTCATGATCTGCTTTTGCTCTTGATCCTCGTTCCCTTCCTTCCATTCGCTCAAATTATTCGAAAGATCAAGTACTCATTTCACGAGGTAAGCACCGCTATTGCCCTCAAATGCTTTTGAGCCAACAAATAATAAAAACAACAATAATAAAAGTAATAATAATAACCCTTCGTAAGACATGTCCATTTTTTTGTGACCAAATCAGAAAGTCTGTGATGTTATGAAGGAGCAGATTTTTATATATAAGTTATAATTCTAACCAAACAGATACATCAACCAGTGAAGTCATCGCCCCCACTGCATTAGACTGGCCCTCAACCTCGAACCAAGTGATGATAGAAACGCAGGTCGACAAGCCGTGGATTGACCTAGAATACTTCTGGAGATAAGGCCTCACCAAACCAAAATATTAAGGTGCTCGGGTGGTTTTTCACGTGGCCTTCTCCTCACGTAAATTTGGGTTTGCCTACAGGCAATCCCGATAATATGACGGAGCACTAGTAGAATCTCTGGTACGCGCACACCAGGTGATGAGATCGTTTCGGTAACGATGGGCCAAGGTTCAGGAGGTCTCAAGCGAGCCTGGGTCGCCCTCTCTGAGGTACATAGCCCTCGGTAGTATCGCTCTTTCTCTCCTTCTGTGGAGGGTCAGGTCACCTAAATCTTGATATTGCCGATGCGTTCACGTGCGAAGCAAGCCTCAGGACTAAGCCTGAGGCCCAATCAGGTTAGTAAGGCCATAAGCACAATGTGGAAACAAAAGCCCGTAACCAAAGTCTAAGCCCGCAAAGATAAGCGCTTAAGTTCAGGTGAGTCGAGTGGTTGACCTGACCCAGGAGGAGTAGAACGAACGTTCTGCCCGGTTTCATAGAGCATATGCGAAAATGTCATCAATGTCGGGAAAATGTGCGGCAAACTGAGCGAAAACAGCAATAAAACGTTTGCTCAACTGTTGGATAAATGGGACGATATGCCACCGACTGTTGCTCGAAGACAGCAGTCGGTGGGCGATGATGATCAGAATCGCGTCCTAGCGTGCTACTGGGGGCACTGGGAACCATAGTGTCTCTATCAAATACATTCGGCTCTGAAATCCAAGAATGCTATTGAGTTAGACACCAAGCGGGTTTCGTCACATTGCCGTTGCAGTTGTGCCACCGATTCTGCCAGTGAAGTTTCTCTTAAAGGCCGTGATGGATGCGATTTATGCCAAGAGCTGTTTCTGGATTAACATGGAGAAATTTTATTCTCACAAAACATAAAGAAATCCACTACTGAGCGTTTGGTTGAAGAATTCACGATAAGAACAAAGGTCAAAAAAGGGGAAAATTGCATAGTTGGGAACAGGCGGACCTGAGGGTGCTGACCTGACGCGCAATTGGCAGCGAAAGATTTGACCTCGGCGATCTAGCATGGCTCACTCTTGGCGCGGTTGGCGGGGTACGCCCACCGACTATCTAATCACTCGCCGCAGGTCTATACGTGGCGAGTGATTAGATAGCAGAGAGAGCGTAGTGTTGAAGAGGGCACAGCGATGAGAGTCGCATCAATGCGCAAATCAACGGGCAAGGGGGTCCCATTTCTCGGGTTTCGGGCCGTTTCAAATGGTTTCTTCTTCATCCCTGCTCCACTGACCACCTCTACCCTTATTTCCAATGAGCTAACTTTTCATCGTAAATCTGCCTTTGAAGCCTATACCGCTTCTCTACACGGGTGCCACTAAAATCGTGTTTACCTACTAGCACTCACTTTTGGCCGCTCCTTTTTTCAGTATTGGTTAGAAAAGCATTCAGAAATTTCAATGAGAATCATACCAATTATTTGATTTATATTTAGTACTGATTATCTGCGGCTGAAATGGAACTGTTGTCTTTTCAGCAATGCTTTATTAAATTAATTATAAAGATCATGCGGCATATTAGCCTTGACGGGGTAAATGGCACGTCATTTCGTTGTGCAATGTTCTCATCTTTATTGTTTGAACTAAATTTTACCCGATTACTGATTACTGGTCAATGCCACTCTTTCAGTCCGCTCTGTGATTCTAGTCGCGTTGGGTAGAACTCCGATATATTAGGTCGGTCCACAATTTTTGAGAACCTTTAGTGTTTTTCGATTTATTACTTATCTTATTTCTATGGGCGGAAGTGGTGTAGTGACAAGTGGCGCGCTCACCACGCGAGCGGTCCGGGATCAAATCCTGGGTCGTGAGTCGCCCGGGCCAACCAAGCCTTCCATCCCTCCGGGGTCGGTTAATTGGTACCAGACTTGTCTGGGAGGATAAAAACACTGACTTGAACATCGGCTGGCCCCGCAAGTCATTGTATAGGCCACATCGCATTCAAAAGCCACTGCGAATGTACAAATGGAAGTAGAATGCGTGCCGCATGACCCAAAAAGGGTTATGATCAACGGCAATTGCTTCTATTTATTACTTATCTTATTTCTCTGATCTACTTATCCAGCATAGTATACATCATTATTATTTACAACATTCACCAATGCGAGGGTGGGTATTCAGTGCCTCTCTTGTGGACTTTCATAGAGTTCTGATCGAAGGAAAATTGTAGTCCCGAATCAGTTCTCAACCCAATCTGACATCATCAAGTTCCTGTTAGGTTTCCTATAGTTCCTTCGGATGACCATCTATAATACTCATTGGTGATGTGGACTGGGTGCAATGTGCTAACAAATCCACGAGCCGCAGTAGATTTGCTCAAACGATTCGGGAGTTCTGACAGTACAAACCCAACTCCCTCTGAATTCGAACTTCCTGAGTCGTTGGCGCAATACGGGAGGGCCTTTGCGCTGAAGACCGGCATCAACTAATACCAGTGTCAGTGATGGGAAGAATCGTTGACAGCTTGATGGCAACGCCTTCAACTTGAAAGCAAAGGAAGACAAAACTATAACTTCGTATAAATCTATTCTTCTGTGAGGTCGTTCGAGCCCGCCTTGCTAAGAAAATTCCTAAAAAATTGGAGACTCTCGGGCGGTCAGTTCTTTTAGCTCCGCCTTATAGCACTAATCCTGCGTCAACGAACGACTATCCGCTCTCCTCTCTCAATCACCTTCTGGAGAAGAAATCTCACTTGAATCACCATAAAGTCAAAATCGACATGCCGGCCGGCTTTTTTACCAACTCCACACATGCTCCACATGGTGGAGTTTTTATGCAAGCTTGTGCTACATAACGGCGCTGGAAACCATGTTTTTGTGCCCGAACTTCATGACCTAAAAGGAATCGAGCTGCTGGCATCCATGTAGCCCTCCATTGTGAGAGCAGGCTTAGTAAACAAAAAAGCTACTCCAGATTAACCTCCAGACACCACTAATCCAGCAACTTTCAGGTAGGGAAGCGACAACTGTAGGGAGGTTATGGATGGGGAACCATTATCAAGCCTATCGTACTTGAGAACGATCAAGTATGGTAGTTCGAGTTTGTGTATTAAAGCCCGAGCTATTTCAAGAGAAGAGCGTCAGCGCTTGCGCGCGAAACTGAATGCCAATCATCTTTCGGCAGACTCTGCGTCAAGAAGAAATTTCCATGTACATATTTCCTTCGTTCTTACTGGCTATTATAGAGTTTCTGTGCCAGCGCTACGAGGTATTCTTACGGTTATACCTACATCGAGTTGCGTGCAATTCCTAGTCGTACTTCCAGGTATATCTTTTCCTTTAATTTCCTCTGTTTCTTTTCTGTCGTCGCATTTAGCCATGCAGGTTTTTAATCTCTAGCTGTTTGGAAATACTATTGTTACTATTGAAGTGTAGTGAATAATAGGGAGAAATTGTACATGAAGATGGTTTTATTGGGAACGTTGTAGATTCATAAGCAATGAAGCTATTCTGTTCCTGGAAACAAGAAAATGACACAAAAAAAACACAAAAATGAAAAAATTTCATTGTAAAGGTCGTGCGCCACCATGTGACGCAACTTTGACGACTTTGTTATGGGTTAATTGTTTTTTTATGGTGCTTAGTACACTTTTTGCCATTCACAGCTGCGGACCGTCACGATGGTAAACCTAATGTTTACGCAAAGAAGAATTTTTCAAGCCTGTCTTCGCTTTTACGAATGACTCTCGAAGTGTAATAGAAAATTGGCTTTCAGGCTTACTAATTCGGAAATTTAGTTAATTTAGGAGCTTAGCATGTCCAATTGTGCTTGTAAAGAGTGATAGGCTGGTAGGTCAATAAGCCTCTTTGGGAGCGCTCACTGTGATAGCCTCCTACTTACTGATCCTCTCGTGATCACTTATTAATTGTCAGTCTTGATATCGTTCTAAAAGTGCGTCTCAAATTAGTTTCACATTCGCAACGTAATGGCTCTGGAAATGTATTTCGCATAACAAATGGATCCACGTCGATACTGGCATTCTCGAAACAATCTCTTAAAAGAACTTTTACAGAGGGTTCAACAATGGTGCCCTCTATGAGTAGGTTTGTGAAGAGGACCTCACTCCTATATCTTGCTTGTCTTACAATGGCGGCAACTCTCCTCACGATAATGGCCACGTCACACAGTAGGTATGAAGGTTTTAATTTAACGAGTTTTTTCTCCTGCATGAACACCTCGAGCTTTTGGGAAATCCAATACTTGGAGCCGATGAGAGCTGAGGCAGCTAAACTTTTAGGCAATAAGCTCATTTCGTAGAAAATTAATACAGCTCGCCTGGATCATTAATTCACTTGATGGTTTTTTGGAACCCAATCTCAATTGTTGCTGGCCATTATAGGGCTCGTCTTTACCTTACAGCTGTGCCATCTGTTGAACTTTACGGCAAACATAATGGAATAAGTGTTTATGAAAAGCAAAGTGATTAATCATGTTGGGCACTTTCGTATGAGTGATTACTTCCGTTCTTATAACGAAAGCAAAAGATGATCCTCGGCTCAGTAGCATTACAGCAGTGCAGCATAACTTTCATGGGCCGGTGTCAGACTTTGCGAATTTCCACCGATTTGCTAGTGAACCGCGAGGTACAAGCGTTGCGCCGGCGGAGCGAACGATGTACCAGCAAATCGGCAGTGTTTGAAGTGGCGAGGGACTCTCCGGTCTGCATGTTGACTCTCGCCACTTTCCCAGGCTCACGTGAGCAGCCCGAGCATGAGAGGGCGAGAAGGTATGTAAGCCCGGGGAAAGGGTGAGCCCAGTCTGCGAACGAGAAGGTCTCCCGTCACTTTCAAACTTTGTCGAGTTGAAGGCACTCGTTAGATCCACTGGTACATCGTCTGGTCCGCTGGTGCAACGCCCGTACCTGGATTCGCAATGACACCGGCTAAAGTGCTAAGCTTTCGACTCATTAGGCTGTCTCAAAAGCTCGTGCCTATTTTTTTCTCATGTCACAAGCCCCTTCAGCAATTTCCAATAATGTTAAGGTAGGCTGTGGAAGGGACACAACACTAGGTAAGCTCTGAGCGAATTCAAAGTCGCCTTCTCCAAGCTAAAAGTGAAAATAGAGAAAGTCGTGTTTTCGAGCTCTGAGTGAAGAACTTCTACTGAGCCAAAAACCGATTGAAGCCGGACTAATTTGTTTTGAGAAGTCTGAGTTTCACGAAAATCACACCCAGAAGCGTCAGGAGGCTGTATCGAACAGAAGAGGGTGAAATCTGAACAAATTCACCACAAGGTCGTGCTCCGCTTTTTTGGAGCGTTCTCGAGTTAACCACTAAGAACATCTTCCTCGTTATAGTATGAAGTCAGCAAAATCTTCTGTGATCAACGGCAGAGAGTCACGGCGAATCTCCAGCAAATGTCCTTAAAATTTAGCAAAGTATGTCCGCCACGACAATCAAGACTACGCGTTCCGAAAAGGTGCGACTTTGGATATCGAAGCTGTTGGAGAGTTCCTACCGTGCAGCGGTGATCAGCCTTCTTTCGAAGGACGCCTGCTCTCTTGTCCAGCAACTATCTTGCGGGCAAATACATATACGATTTCCATAGGCACCTCAAAATCGAGCTCGCTGCCTTTTTCAGCTCGTGCCGGCCTTCTAGAAGTTAAGCGTCCGTATTTTGCTTGGTCGCCGCGAATTCACTGATAGTAAAGGTGCATATAATAATGGTAGATAGCGCATGCGCTTGAAACAGAATAGGCTCAAAAACAAGTTCCAAAGTACGCTCGAACTTTTGAGACAACCTGATACATCCAAACAGCGTGTGTGTCTCACACGCATGCTAACCTTGAATTTGACTACCACAGATAGCTCTGCTCCATTGTCGCCTCATTCGCCTGATATGCCACACTCTAAAGATTTTTGAAGATTCCAGGACTCGCACCCGGATCTCTTGCTTTCCGAGTAATAGTGCTACCGCTTACACCCCCGGGGCACCATTTTGACTGAACACAGCTTCTTCATGGTATACTTACCATAGCTTTCAGCACTCACACGTATAACGTGTTGAGCCGGTTAGCCGATATCGGCAAGTGAACCGCAAGGCTGAAAGCTTTAGCAATTGATTTTGACTTGTTTTTGATTAGTAACTGCTGTTTTTAGATGCAGTTCGCCTTGCGAACGTTTTATATTTATCTTCTATTTATTATAATTTACCATGGAAAGCTGAGTTGGGATGAAATGGTGCCCCGGTAGCGTAACTGGTAGCGCACTTGCCCGGAAAGCGAGAGGTGCGGGTTCTAGTCCCGCCTGGGCGAAAGTTTTGTTCACAACCCAGCATTCTTGTGAAAAGGAATAGTATCAACATTTTTGTCATACCGGAGCAAATCAGTATTCTACAATACAATTTAGGAAAGGACTTGCGGCAGCCAAGCAAACGGAGCCAGCACTGAAGCCACTTATCATTATTATCACTCCCACTTATAAGCGACCCACACGTCTTGCTGATATGACCAGGTAAGACGAAGATAAAAATAATGCTGCGAGTTGATGCCATGCACTAGAATTTCTTTGAGCATAGTATATACGTTATCCGATTGGTCTGCATAGCGTTATATGGCCCTTGAAACAGAAGTGGGTACACCAGAGTAGCGTTTACTTTTTCTCCATTCATTGTGAACTTGTTGAAATTCATAGTCGCGAAGCCCAGTCTCCGTCAAGAATGAAGTTGTAAATGGCGAGTTCACAGTTAATGAAAAGAAAACTTTGCTATATACCTTTGTACTTATTGGGTTCCAAATGCGCTTTCATTTCTGAACAAAGTCGGCCCTAGGAGCTGTAATCGCTGAAAGAGTGCCACTGCAGCGAAGGATGTGATCTCAACGGCACTCGGGCAAAGATCTTCCACGGAGACGTTGCGGCGGATAGCTGCTGTCAACAAACTCCACTGCTATCGGTGAAATAAGCATGACAAGTAGAAGGGCTCGCTTGCATGGTACTCGGAAAATATGTCATCTCGGCAACGCTCGCAACGAATTACGAAAAGCTTCTGCAAACGTCCTTATGATCACTGTGGGACGATCTGACCCACCTTGTTCAGCAAACCAGGCACAGATAGGCTACCATGAGATTGATGCCGCCAAAGCCGAAGCATCTCAAAGAGGCGTGGTCTGATGGTCTGAATCTACTCGGGGAGGACATCTTCGACGTTGTTGCTGCAAAAGCTCAGCGTTTCTGCACGACCGGCAAGCAGAAGCTACCTCCTGAAGCGCATCGTTTCGACGACATGGTGGTGTACGTAGTTGCAGCTGTACTAGAGAAGAAAAACAACATTGAAAAAAGGTTGACAAAGGCACAAACACTTTTCCGACAATCTTATAATAATGGTTGTTATACAAACTGATAGATCCTCATGTAAGCCGAGGTATGTGCATTTGAAACGAGGTGTCGAAAACGGCGGAACTTTTTTAAACACCTAGCAAATGATTTTTGACTTGTTTTTGTTTGTTAACTGCTGTTTTTGGCCGCAGTTCGCCTTGCGAATGTTTCACAAGAATGCTGGGTTGTGAACAAAACTTTCGCCCCAGGCGGGACTAGAACCCGCACCTCTCGCTTTCCGGGCAAGTGCGCTACCAGTTACGCTACCGGGGCACCATTTCATTCCAACTCAGCTTTTCATGGTACTCTTAAGTCAAAAATAAGTAATAATGTAAGTCAAAAATCATTGCTAAAGCTTTCAGCCTCGCGGTCATTGCCGGCTAACCGGCTCAACACGTTATACGTGTGAGTGCTGAAAGCTATGGTACGTATACCATGAAAAGCTGAGTTGGAATGAAATGGTGCCCCGGTAGCGTAACTGGTAGCGCACTTGCCCGGAAAGCGAGAGGTGCGGGTTCTAGTCCCGCCTGGGGCGAAAGTTTTGTTCACAACCCAGCATTCTTGTGAAACCTAGCAAATGGTAAACACTCCAGAATGTCGAACACGCTTCGCCTTGTGCCCCATATTCACTGGATCGTTATTGAAGACGACAACTATACGTGCCTTATGTTGAGGATATTCTCCGTCGTTCAACACATTTATACACCTATGTTGCTGCGCGAACACCTGCAGGATATCCAAGTATGTTGTAAATTATTTGCTACAAAAAATATTGGTAAGGAAAAGTAAGGGGTAGATGTCATTGCTTCCACTCTGAATCTCTCAAATCTATAACCGGAAAAGAAATAATTAAGACCAAAATTCGTTTTATTTCCATCTCTGTTCTTCCGCTCTTGTTACTAGTCTACATTCTTCGGTTGGTGTGCTACGTGCGTTTCAAAATATAAGGTAACTAAGAGGCCTCGTGCTATATAACCCTCCTTGATTTGAAGTCGATAGCCTATTAGTGCAGGTCAAAGGGATCCTTCACGGAAAAATCATGATTTTATTTCAGCCATAATCACTGGCTTGAGACTCATCATCCACGATAAGAATGAAAAGAAAAAATTGCATTTGTTTGGTAAAAATTCGAAAAACCGAAAGGCTGCTACGCGTTCAAATACCGCCGGACATCTGTCACAAATGCTGGCGACGGGATTTCCACTTGGTTCTCGGAGTGCCGTCACTAGAAACTCTTTCTGGCCTTCTGACTTATTGCATTCACATCTACACTTCTACTGCATCCTATTCTATCGATCGATTTGTCTCTACTCTCCAAAATCGCACGCTTTAACCCGATTCTTTCATTGCGTCGCCTGATACGTAGCCGTCTCAAGGCGAAGCTCTTGTGTGTTATTTCCAACGATCACAACTGATACATTTATTTTGAGAAAAAATGCCAGAATTCTCCGCGAAGGATTCCTTTGAGCACGTAATATCGTCTTACTTCCGTAAAAAATCGGGTGGAATTTTTTTGTCTCAAAAGTATGTGGACACTTAACAAAATACAGTTACAAATACATAAAAAATGCAGTTCTCATCAGCCGATCGTAAAGTAAACTCGTTGAACAAGGTTTCCTTATAGGTAATGGGAACACACAATATCGCTTCAACACCATTTCGTTTGAGCAATTCTTTGGTAGATCGCGAAGCATGGACAACGCGTTATCCTGTTGCAAAACATGTAACCTTCGCCGTACATTCTATGATAAAAGGCTTAAGGTGGTGTTGAAGTGTTTTAATACCTCACTGTCCATATGTAATGATGGGAAGGCCAGTTCCAACTTTATGTTGCTTGCGAAATCGCCCACACTATCAACGAGCCTCCGCCGAAATTCCTTCTCGAGAACACAGAGCGACTCACGGCCAAGCCTCTCCAGTAGTAGCAAAATCCACCCGGCCCGTCAAGATCGAACTCTTTCCATGAGTTAAGATTACCTGAGGAGAGAAAGTGCATAAAAAGTTGCTTGTTTTGAAGTAGGAAATTCTCGAAAAAACTGTGTCCTTTCCGGTGTTGCCATGTCTGTACGATCAGACTCCACTCTTGCTAACTTGTACTGATACTGAGGTGAGGAGCGATGAAGCGTTAAATGCTCTCTTTTCAAAGTTGGTTAACCCATCTGAGCTCGGAGACACAATGAGGAATTCGACAGGATGCGGACTTCTCTTTCGTTGTTCTGGCAGGAAGGTCGTTCAGAGCAGGCCGCGCATCTTCAAACGGTTTTTCGCATGTTATAGGAACAGATGCGTGAACTACAGAACCAAGGTCCATTTTCGCTGAACGGCCCCAAGAAGGCCAAAAATGGTGAGGAAATGGTCCAAGGATCAATCCCCCGTGATGACAAAATTTTTGCATTTCAGTTGGAGCTTCCAAATTTTCTCAAAATAGCACCAGCGTAAAATAGAGATCACATTCATTATCAGGGCCACCGGTAATTATTCAACTCAGATTTTAACTGGAATATGGCGGAAAAAGTTGTAACGCCAGAAGGACCCAAATGGTGGTGAAGTGGCGTAAATTGGAGGCGTCTGGAAAAACAAATGTCATATTCGTGATCGGAGCATTAGATATTCCTTAAAG